CCAGCCTCTCTCTTCCCCTCTCCCACCTCCTTTTCCCAGTCTCCCCCAGTTTTGTTCAATAAAGACAGATTCCATTTTGGAAAACACATTATCTTTATTTTGTACATCAAGATGAGGGGCTAGGGAAGGGTAAGTGGAAGGAGGTGAGGGAGGAATGGGGCACGAGCCCCCGATGGGGAGGACTGGGCTGCCTCTGCAGGCTTCTGGGGATGGAAGCTCTCCTGCAGCCCCCCAATTGCCCGCTCTCCCCAGATGGCAGCCTGCGGCAAGTTCAGCCGGGCTGATGTCTGAGTGGTGTGATGTGCCCAGTGTTGGCAGTCCAGGCAATCCAAGCCGGGACTGCTTTGCAAGCGGGGCACCCCTGAAAACTGTCTGTCCAGGGTGGGGGTCGGGACCCTTTAAGCACAGCCCTCAGCTAGCCTGAGACAGCATCTCCACGCTCTAAGTCCTCCTCTGATGCCCTGACGGCACTGCTTCCGGCCATCCTTAACCCCGGTTCAGGGTCCACTTAATGTAGATATGCTAGTTCGAATTAGCAAAACGCTAATTCAAACTAGTTTTTTAGTCTGGATCCGTTAGTTCTAATTAGCTTAGCTCGAATTAACGTTGTAGTATAGACATACCCAGAGAGAGAAAGATCAATGGCCTTTTTAGGAAGGTTAGCTGAGGATATCACAGTATAGCGCCGGCAGTTGGGAAGATTTAAAATTTCCTAACCAGACAGGGATGGAACAAAAGTCTCTCACAGAGACAGTATGGCTGAAGACCTAAGGTCTAACTGGAACACCTGGAATGGAGCACAGTGAGGGTATGCCTACATTGTAGATTTGTTCCAGAAAAAATAGCTGTTTTCTGGAAAAACTACATTTATGTCCACATTGCTATTGCGTTCTTTTGACAGAAAGTTGAAAAAATGGAGGGGGTTTTCAACGGAAAGTCAAAAGAATGGTAAACCTCTTTCTACGAGGAAGAAGGCTTTTCCCAAAAAAGCTTTTTCAGAAAAAGGCGTGTGTGGACATGGAAGAGAGTGTTTTTTAAAAAAAAGAGGCCTCCAGGAAAAAGCACAGGTTCCCTGATGACCACTCGGTCTACAGTAATCACAACTGAAATGCGAGATAGCCTCCAATCAATGTGGACACTATCTTTCGTAAAAGCAGATCATTTTTTCGTTGCGCTTCTGCTGTGTAGAGTCACTCTTTAAAAAAAAAAATTTCTGGAAGATCTCTTCCAGAAAAGTTTCTTCCAAAAGAAGCTTGCAGTCTAGACATAGCCTGAGAGAGCTGAAGGGCAGTTGCACGGAAACTGTGACAATATTGTATTATAAAAATGTTTTTAAAAAGTTTGAAATAGAAAATGTTAATATTGTATTCTGAAAATGAGATATATAATGTTATTTTATCTTAACAAATTATTTCTTTTCCATTTTACTTTGAAACAAACATTACTCTAAAAGGACATATTTCTTTGAGACTTTTGGCAAACTGACATTTTCTGAAAATTTTTTAAACATTTCAAATTGTTTGCTTGCTAAAGAAAAGGTGCAATTAGCAGCTCTAAAAATACCTATTCAAATACCTTACTAGAAATGGTTTTTAAAAAATGAGAAAATAGTGTAGAGAAAGGAGTAATAAGAAAATTTTAACTGATATTTCTCCTGTTTCTTTTTCACTGACTTTTCAAATTTGGAAAATGTCTTATTTCAGAAGTTTGAACTGAGACAATTATGGTGTATTAGAGTTATTTCTACATAGAATCATATGTTTAGAAGAGACCTCAGGAGGTCATTGAGTCCAGCCCCCTGCCCAAAGTGGGACCAATCCCAATTAATCATCCTAGCCAGGGCTTTCTCAGGCTGAGACTTAAAACCCTTTAAATAATGTCTTGCATCAGCTTGTTAAATGTAATTACATATTCCTCTACATTTTATCCTTTTCTCTTAGGTATCTCTATCAGCATTTTTCTCTCAACAAGAGGCAGGACTCTATAAATATGAATAATTGCTTGAGTAGGAAAAAATAAATTAAACTCTAAAGCTGATAATTTGAACTTCAGTTTACTTGATAGGGAAAACTAATGGAATAAATGAATCAGGACTCAGCAGTTATAGTCCTTGTGTCTGCTGACTCAAATTCATTTGGCCTCATGTGCTAACATCGCTCAGATATTCCTTCTCTTTTTCTTTCTCTTTTTTGATGTGTGTGTACATGATTTATCATACATATTCTTTCATAAATAGAAAAACATTCACTGAAGGACTTTTGTGTATTTAGTTAGGCATCACAATGCAAATGACTGGCAAATTCTGATCTGTGCACTACAGAACGTAAGACTCCTTTTGGAAGCAAGATTTATTTTACTCTTCAAGTATGTAATAGAATAAGATGGTGGCTTTCTCTTCTGTGAAGTGAGAAACAGTAGGATTGTGACTGCAACTGAGGGCTGGTCTATACTACAGTGTTAAATTGAAATTAGTTGTGTTAGGTTGATTTCAAAATTAATACATCCAAACTACCATGCCATTCCTGCCATCTTAAAAGGCATTTTCAATTGAATTTTGTACTTCACTTCTGCTAGAAGCACAGCTCTTGAGTTGACTTTCCTGGATAGACTTTGGAGTAGTGTAGACACAGCACTATATAACTTAAAGGGATTTGGCCTCCAGGAGGTGTTTTAGGGCATGTCAACATTGCAGTGTTACTTTGAAATAAATAATGTTATTTCAAAATAATAAGGAGAACATGCACATAGCAAGCCCATTATTTTGAAATAATTTTGAAATAACAGACTTCTTATACCAGAATAATAAACCCTCATTTCACGAGGAATAACACACCTATTTTGAAATATTTATTTTGAAGTAGGGTGTGAGTGGACAAGGCAGTTGCGGTTATTGCAAAATAGTCCACTCTGTCCACACCCCTCAGAACTGTATAGTTTCCCTTCACCTGCAGCCTTCAAAGTATAGTCACAGGGGAAACAGTATGTGGCACAAGAAAGGCCCTGATCACCCTGTGCCACACTGCAGTGCCCTGCTCTGCCTTTCCTGATAGCATGGAAGACCCCTGAGCTCCCACCAAGGCCCCCCCCCCCAGTTGCAAGCCAGCCAGCAGCCAGCTCTAAAGCCCCTGCCCAGGGGCAGATGAGGAGGGCTCCTTCCTGGTTTGATGCGGAGATCCTGGATCTCATTGAGGTCTGGGGAAAAGAGGCTAACCTCTAGGAACTCCACATTAGATGCAGGAATGTGAATGTCTACACCTGGATGGCCACCAGCTGGGGTCAGAAGGGCAACATGCGCGCCCATGAACAGGTGTTCATGAAAATTAAAGAACTCGATTAGGCGTACACGAAGGCCAGGAAGGGGTGTTACCCCAATCATGCCACTATTATGAGAAGCTGTACAACATCCTGGGAGGGTGGTTGCTCCCTTCCTCCCCCTTGTTGTTGACTCTAGCCTGGAGCCACCTATTGTGAGAATGCCGAAGGGCAGGCCTGTGTACTAAGAAGTAGAGGCAGAGGAGGAGGAAAGGGAGGTCACAATGGACACAATGCCCACCAACCAGGAGATCATCCCTGGAGCCAATGCCCCCTCCAGAATGTCACCCAGGGTTCGGACAAAGCCAGGGAAGGCCCATCAGGTGAGTTCCATTACTTTTCCTAGAAACACAAGTGGCAAGGGGCTGTGTGCTCCTCAATCAGCTTTCTCGGCCTGGGGATCATACAGCAGCCTATGCATGTGGGTACACGTGGAGCTCCAGTCCTGAGCAAAGAGCTGCGTGAAGTGGCCACAAAGGAAACTTGCGCTCCTTCTCATAGAGTTTCTGGAGAGGCCGGCCTTACTCCTGACCCCTGTGGTGGGCCACATTCCCATTACAAGACACCAATAAGGAGGATGGGGTCATGGGCACACACAACAGTGCCACAAATGGCGCATAGTCATACCTGCACTCTCTGGGCAGCATCTGCTCCCGGTCAAGTGCAGTGAGGCAAGGGACACTGAACCTACACTGGAATTTTCTGGGGTGAAGGAAGTGGAAGGGACCCCAGAAGCACCTGACAAGTGGCTTCATGCACACCTTCTCCTGGGATGACTGACCTTACTGTTCTGAACAACTGGACCAGTTGCAAGTGGAGCATGAGTGATATCTCCCACACCAGCCACCCAACCCTATGAAACCTGCAGGCACTGCCAAACCCTGGAAGACCTGAGTGAGAACACATTGCCTGCCTCCATGCCCTGCAGTAGTCTCTAAAGTGTCAAGAACAGAGGTTGGACACCGACCTGGAACTAAGCAGGAGCTGTCGCAGGAGGCCTGGAGCATGTGCAAGGCATATACACCATTGTTGACCACCTGGTCACCGCCATTGACCAATCCAGCAGCCCCCACCCCCACCCAACACACACTTGCTCCTTCTACCGTGCACTGCATCTGCACCTGCTCTTGCCCCCTCCCCCCAGCTTCTCCTCGTAGCTCCTTCTCTCTCCCTTGTGTGGCCACTGAGGGCCCCGCACACAAAGCTGTGCTACAGATCTTAGGGTATGTCTACACTACATGGCTCCATCGATGGAGCCATGTAGATAAGCTTTGTAGACATAGGAAAATGAAGCGGCGATTTAAATAATCGCTGCTTCATTTACATCAAAATGGCTGCACTGTGCCGATTAGCTGTTTTTCGGCACAGCGTGGTAGTCTGGACACTCCACAGTCAACATCAAAAGCCTTTGTCAACAGCCCCATTATGCCTCGTGGGATGAGGTTTACAGAGGTGGTTGACAAAGGCTTTTGATGTCGACTGTGGAGCATCCAGACTATTGCGCTGTGCCGACAAACAGCTGATCAGCACAGCGCAGCAGCCATTTTGATGTAAATGAAGCAGCGATTATTTAAATCGACACTTCATTTTCCTATGTCTATAAATCTCATCTACATGGCTCCGTTGACAGTGCCATGTAGTGTAGACATACTCTAATAGTGGCTCAGGTATCCCTTCTACTCTACTCCAGGTGATGATTAAAAGGAGCAGAAGGTTTTCATTCACACAGCTTTGATTGTTACACAGAACAAATGTAAACAATGTTTCCTTGTTCTTCATGCTTTGTTGTCAGGCTCTTAAACTGGGGTTATCTTTCCTATTAATTTCTGTTATTTTTCAGTGTGTGTTAGCTAATTAGAAATACATGGATTGAGGGCAAGAGGCTCTTTATTCGCTACACGCATAGTTATTAGCAGGGGTATAGTTTACAGGGTAGTATATGCAAGAAAGGAAGCAGTTTGGTAAGGAATAACCACGTAACAGTCACATCAATGTTGAGTTATTAATGAAACTGGTTTTTAAAGCTTCTTGGAGATGCTTTGTGCCTCAGTGTGCTCTTCTTATTGCTCAGGTGTCTGACTGCTCACAATGAGCTGCCAGTCATTATGTTTCAACCTCATATCCTTCCAGAAACAACGTTTCCCGCTTCCCAGATAATATTAAGCACATAGCAAGGAGCAACAATAGGGATATTGTTTTCACTGAGGTAAAACTGTATCAGTGTGCTTTTAAATGCCCAAAGGCACATTCTATCACCATTCTGCCCTTGCTCAGACTGTTGTTGAACTGTTCCTCCAGGCTGTCTGTGTATGGCTTCGTGAGGCATGGGAGCAAGTAGTAATCTGGGTCTCCATGGATAGCTATTGGTATCTCAACATCACTAGTGGTAATTTTCCAGTATATGAAGAAAGTTCTTTCTTGCAGCTTTCTGAAGAGACCAAAATTCCTAACAATGCATGCATCATGCACCTTTCCCAGCCATCTCTTGTTATTTGGCCCTCCTTATTCACTATTGTTTGCAACAGCAATGGGAAGTATCCTTGTGGTTTATATATTCTTTGAAAAGTGGTCTGATGCCAAGATAACAATATGCATTCTGTGTATGACCCCACCACAGCTTCTTAATTATCAGGGCTAGTCTCATTTTGGTATCACTGTGCTTCTGGGTTGGGGAAAGAAATGTTCCATGAAAGTGGCCTTATGCATTCAAAAGCGCCGTAGACAATGCTACTCGCCCCATAGCTGCATAACCCAGAGTCCCACCGCTCTGTTTGTTTCCTTGCTTTGTTTGTTTTCCTTGGGAGCCTAACTCGAATTCCAGACAGCCATAGGAGAAGTGGGATAGCTGCCCACAGTGCATAGTTCTGTGAGTGCATGTGAGCCTTACTAGTAAATAAGCACTCCACTGACTGAAAGTGCATCGTGGGGATATGCAGAATCAACCTTGTAAAATTGGAAGCTAAATGTCAACTTAAATAAATAATTTGACCACATTTCAAAGTATAAACATAGTTTGAGACATAAAGGCAAGTTTTGAAGTAGCAGGATTTGTTCCTAAAAGTAGAAAATTAAACCAAAGTAAAAATTGAAACTATAATGCCACATCTATACTTATGTACCAGAGATAGACCTTCTGGCATTCAATTTAGTGGATGTAGTAAAGACTCACCAACTCAAACATTGATGGTGCCCCCAGTCAGCACTGGTACTCCTCGCAGTTTGCTCCCATCTACCTCCCACTGTGAAGATGGCAACACATTCGGCTTAAGATATGACAACTCCATCTACTTTATTTACATAGCTGGAGTTGCATACCTTAAGAAAATATACTGAGTGTAATATAGACATTACATACATTACAGATAGTTGAAAAATAGAGAAAAGGTGGAAAGAGGCTGGAATATTTTCAGAACAATTGCCAATGAGGGAATCTAGGAAATGAAGTGTAGTAGAAAATAAAAGCTTAATTTAAGGGGAATTCAGAGATGGCTTATAGAGATGGTTGACAAATATAATATAGATTAGGAATCACTGAGAGACAGGCCAATAATCTGGATGGAGTAAGAGAGCCTGACAGGTCAGGTAATGAAAAGTGACCTGAAATGCATCAGTGATATGACAAATGTAAAAGAACAATGGAATGCCTCAATATTGAAGGAACTAAAGAGGACAAACAAAATGCACTTCCTTGGAAGATCCTCTAAGATATCCTGAGGATAATAAGAAAATGGCACCCCATCTCTGCATACTCAGGGAACCCTCCATGTGTTGAATTGTCCCACGTGGAAAAGCTGTCTTAACATATGGTATTGTAACATATAGTGCCTGGACATATGGTATTGGGGCAGGGAATTTGTGGACAAGGGAATAATTAATGGAGTGTAAAAATAGAGAGAGGAACAGGATGTAAGGCTGTGTCCAGACTCAGGGGATTTTTCGAAAAAAGTAGCCTTTTTTCGAAAAAACTTCACCTGCGTCTAGACTACAGCTGTGTTCTTTCGAAATTTAATCGAAAATTTAATCTTTCTTTGTTTCATGAGGAAGAACACCTTTTTTCAAAAGTGCTCTTTCGAAAAAAGGCGTTCTTGAATGCAAACAGGGCTTTTTCGAAAGAAAGCATCCAGACTGCGTGGGTGCTCTTTTTCGAAAATCGGCTTGCTTTTTCGAAAGCACTGCTTGCAGTCTAGACGCTCTTTTTCGAAAGAGGCTTTTTCAAAAGATACTTTCGAAAAAGCCTCTTTCGAAAGAGGCTTGCAGTCTAGACATAGCCTAAGTGAATACAGCATTCCATCCTCCAGCCTTGTAGAATTGACCAAGAAAAATTATACTGCCTGTGAATGTACTGTCTTTTATGCTTATCCCCTCAAAGGAAGGCATTTGCCTCTAAAAGGGTCTTCAGCACCTACTGACCCTTAATAACTTGGTTCCTTTAGATTCTGCTGCTAGAAGTGAAGGAGTGCTAATGGCCAGACTTGATGGGGAAATCTACACAGAGGACCTTGGAATCCCACAGATTCCCTAAGGCCTTTAAGGTAAGTATGTCTGGTGTGATTTTCATTGGGATAACCTTAATGCAGATTTACTCAGCTATTACTCGGCAATTATTTTAACTTTGATATTATGGTTTAATGCATACCTTTATTTGCTGATACATATAGCAGCACTGTGGATGCTCTCACACTGGATAATTTTGAATTTAGATCAGTTTTCAATATAGTTCACAAGTAAAGGCTCTTACAGGGAGGTGTTTCTTCCACACCGTTTGCAGCACAGCTAATGAGCTGCCAATTCTTTATTCATTCTGTGTCAGAAGCATAGTTGTTGAAGACATGTTCTACATAATTTAAAGGAGCTCTGCCTTGAAATAGTATGACAAATTGTTCCTGACTGAATATTCATCAAAATGTCTCTTTCCATATCTAGGCTACTCCCTGCTTCTTGATGTATTATTTTTTATTGTGTAAACAATATTTGAAAGCTGATTCTAGTTGATAAGTGGAAAAGGATTTTTATTGTATATGTATATACTTATTTTCGTTGCCTATATGCATAAATTTACATTTAAATATTAACTGATTTTATGACAGAACAATTAGATGATATTTCTGACAGGTACCTATTCCAGATAAAGTCAATTAGCAGCCTGTTTCATACCAAATTTTCTAAAACCCTTTCCTGCAAAATGTAAAGTCTCAAACACAAGTTATATCTTTCACCATACACAGGTCTCACTACCCTAAATAAGAAATTCAGGATTAAATTCTGGACTCTGTGCTTTACAAACCCACATGGTTTGTCTTTGATGCTGATTTTTACACTAATTATATCCCTAATACTCTTTGGTATGTATCCTAGAAAACAAACAAAGAAAAAGCAACTACTTATATTGCAAATGTATTATTGTCTACATGTTTCTTTTCCTCCTTCATACAAACTCCGTGAGCACATTGCTTTAGCTCCGATATTTGTCTTTCCTTTAGGCACATGAACTTTTAGGCCTCTCTGTTCAACCTAGGATTAGAACTGATGACACTATTGAACAACATTTCCAAATGGGATTAATGACTGTGAAGAAACCAAACTGAAGGCTTAAATTGCTATAGTAGGTTCATATTTTCTCAATCTTTGGTAACACATTTTTTAAAATAAAATGTTGGATATAAAATAAATGCTACATCCACTGAGCTCTTTAGATTTTTGGAGATCTGGATGTAGCATGAATCTTACCTTTCTGAGAGCCTTGATTATGTTATATATGATCTAGTTTATTATTTTCTGACATTAACTTTTTATTTTAACTTTGTATTTAATATCATAATGTATACTATAAAGGAAACATATTTCAAAGGAGAAGTCATTTTCAAATGAAAATTCTAAATATGCCATTAAAAATATTGAAGTAGAAGAGCGTGACATTATCTAAATATTTTCTTTCTTTCTTTCATAATTTTAAAAATTGATACACTTCCAAAGGAAGCTTTGATTTGATGGGCAAACATTCCACTGGAAATTTTTTGATCATCTTTACTTACAGATTTCACTAGGAACTCTCTTTTCATACTTCTCTACTGTAGCTAGTCTGTCTCTCCCAGCATAAATAGTTCAAGTGTGAGCAGTGTGCTGCTTCATTGACAGTGTCCATTATGGATTGTGAAATAGTGCGGAACTAGGGCTGTCTGGCTTCTTCTGACCTTCTGAGGATTAGGAAGCCATAGCTGGCTCACCAACACACTCAGCACAGAGTAGCAGAGCCATTTGCATTCATTAATTTCTACATAACTTGAATAATCTCCTATGGCTTTTTCAGGATTGAAATTTGCATCCTCCTCTCATCTAATTTCAAATTTATGTGATATCAATTGGACTATTTTCTTGAAGATGTGTCTTTCAAACTTCTAAATAGAGAAGCATAGGTAAGTTAAAACAGTTCTGAGTCTTCTAGTAACTTGAAATAATAAATAGGCAAATAATTATTTATTGGAGGTAAATTATATGTGGGAAAATAATTATTTGAATTAAACATATGACTTTATAAGAGGATTGCACACATGATTGTTCTACAGGTTCATTGTATATATCAGGGACTCCCTCCTCCCTCATAAGCACATTGCGACCTCACTCTCCCCATTTCTTCTTTCCAGTTTTACAAATTTCTCCAGAAGCAACAAGTTTTGGCTCATTGACACTTAGCGCATTCCCTGAAATTCTGGAATTAATCAGATAGGGTGGTTCTCAAAATATACTGCCTTACAGAAGACAAGCACAATCAAGTTGAGCATAGGCTTTGCAAACTCAGACAATGATTTGGCAGCAGACAGGGCAAATGTATTTGGCATTACAACAAATCTGCCAGTGAAGCTAAAATGAATTTACAATGTAAAATCATGCAAAGATTTAATTTGATTCCTGAGCAGTTGTTCAGATATGGATGGATAATGGTGCATTGGCAAGAGAGGAATCAAAGTGGCAATTTAACATGCATTATCTAGCAGTGCCCTTCTGTTTAAAATGTTAGAAATGGTATATATTATTACAAGTTACTAGATGACTCAGAACTATTTTTGCAGCTATATTTTAGCTAAATACATTTATATATGAAGTATTTTATTAAATTCATTTCAATAGCTCTTGGCTGTCCAAGGAGTTTTATACCTAGAAGGTTGAAAAGCTAGGTATGTATGTCCTATTGCAAGTATGGGATGCATTCATATGAACATTCTATATATAAAACAATTGGGGAAAAAAGAAGAAATGCATGTAATCTGGAAATAATTTATTTCTCATCTAAAGAGGCTCTTTGACCTGTCTTCACATCTATGTACATTGACAAGGAATAGCTTTGTAGATGAATATGTAAATGAGCAGTACATGAAATTGTTAATAAAGTATTTTTGAGAATAAGCATTCAGTTTATTTTTTATTGCTTGTCTATATTTTACAGCATTATTAGATATCTTTTAATATAGCTGTCAAATATAGTTTCTCAAAGACCTTTTAAAGAAAGTTTGAGGCCAAGCTCATGATACACTAACTCATGTAGAGTGACAGTTTAAGCCCACATTCACAAGGTCCTTAGCTACCAATGTCTCTGTTTACATGCCTAAGTCCCAGTTTTAGGCTCCACTG